CCCCAAAACCCCAAAACCCCAAAACCCCAAAACCCCGGGCCGTATTCAACAGATTGAAATGTGGCACAAAGATGGAGCTAAATATGCTGAAACTCCAATGGGATGAATTCAGATGCAAACATGCTAGAAACCCTGGTCCCATATTTGCCGTTCCTTTGAGATTAGCTTAATTGCACAAGGATACACATTTTCACCTGAAACAGATAGAAGAGATAATTCACATTAAAATTGATTAGAAATTTTAAGTATTTGGTCTGAATTAATCAGTGCAAGTGCAGTAATGGCTCAATAAAAGCTCATAGCCCTGTATCTGGTAAGGGTACAGAGATCCAAGCGAAGGATTTCTCTTACTCGTCTTTACAGTACTCCGAGTATTAGCTGTAGATGAGTCTTTCTTATCTGCTATCTCTGGTTTCTTGTATTTCTTGTAACTAACCTTCTTTTCAAAGACGACCTTCTTCTCAGAATCTGAATTTTCAGCACTCGAGGAGCTAATCTCTTCAATAATAATCCTTACAGGTTTTGTAGGAGTAATAGCAGTCACTGAATCCTTTAGTTTTTCGAATTTTCACGGGACAGAAGTGATGATCTGGTTGCCTTGAATTATGATCTCTCCTTTATTCATCACAATGACACTACATCCCTTCTTCTCTCGCAAAGAGGAGCCCGTTTTCTTGCTAGGTTTGTTAAGCTTAACAGACTGTTCATTATCCATAGAGTTATTCTTCTGCCCGTCTGAGTTTGAGTAAGATATAGACTCAGTAGCATTCTTCGCAACTTTCTGTATCTTAAACAGCTTAATAGATGAGTTCTCTGAGCTATTCGCTCTTCTCTTGTGACTATCAGTCCCATTTTGGACATCTAGCTCAATTCTTTTAGATTTTTCTTTCATCTCTCTCTTCTTGTTATCAGCATTTTCTTTAATTCTTAGTAGGCTCCTGAATCAACTTCTTCATGATAGGCTCCTCTTCGCTTCTGTTCTTGTTGTAAGATCTGTTCTGGTAGAGACCTACTAAGTCTTGAGTGGGGTCTGGGTTGGAGTCCTGCTTGATCATTGATTTATCAAATTTATAAACCTTGGAAATATCGCACATGTCCTTCATGATAAACTCCATTGGATTATTGGTGCTGAACTCCTTCTTGATCCTTTCAAAGTACTTCTGAAGATGAGACCTGATCTGGACTCCAGATCTGGTAGGGATCTATAAGGATTAAACACACTAGTTACCATTTCTTCCAACTTATCCCAGTCTTTGCCATGAACTTTGAGACCTAGAGGGTTAGAGGAGGATCTTACAGTTGACAAATCAGTCATGCTCTTCTTTGGACCATCTTCCGATTACCTTCTTCTTCCGTTTCTTTCCAGAGAGATATTGAGTGTCCTATTGTAAGGATTAAAAAATTAAGATTTTCACAAAGAAAAGTAAAGAAATTCGCTTCATTGAGAAAGGATTCAGGGACTTACAGACATGTTGACATCCTGTTGATCTTCTCTCTTGTAGTGACTTTGACGATATTCTTTATTTTCTTCCATTTTCTAAACTTAGTGTCAAAAATATTTGCTGAAAATAGAAGCAGACTCCAAAAATGAAATTTTTATAGGACTATTAGCGAAAATCGAAAATACTTCTAATATCAAAAGCAATGATCGATTCATTCAAGATATACACAGCTGTTAGATAACTCACTCATTCCTAAATGAGGTGGTATTAAAAGCATTTCATGCCCAAAGATAAGGCATTTAGAGGAAACTAGTGATCGGCTATGTCTAAACCAACCTTATCCCTACTCGTTTTTTGAAGATTAAAGTTAAGTAGTATCCTCTTGGCTATCTCATGGCTTAATCTTTAATTTCCACCTACCTTTAGTAATATTTTAATTATATAACTTTAAAAGGGGTTTTGGGGTTTTGGGGTTTTGGGG